TTTTTTTTTTTTTGGCATCACAATTCTCTTTTTAAATCAGAGACTCGAATCCCTTGATGGAGGTAAAATCATCAACGAATCTTCAGGTGACATCCAAAATGCCGTCAATTGCTTGAAGTACTATGCAGGATGGGCTGACAAGACAACCGGAAAGACGATCCCAGCTGACGGGCAGTACTTCACTTACACCAGAAATGAGCCTGTTGGGGTGGTAGGTGCCATYACTCCCTGGAACTTTCCTCTGATGTTGGAGACGTTAAAGGTTGCACCTGCTCTTGCTTGTGGATGTGTTGTGATTTTGAAACCTGCTGAGCAAACACCGTTGACTGCTCTATACTTTGGCAGTTTGATTAAGGAGGTGAGAAAAGGAAAAACGCTTCTTTCCTTCSTTCCTTTTTTCAGTCCCTTCTTTCTTTTCTTTTYCTAACTTGCTTCCTTCCATCCATTTTTTCATCCATCCTCTCACTCTCATGTCCATCTATTCATCCCTTCCTTATTTCATCCCTCCATTCATCCTTCYACTTTTACATGCTTCAATCAGTCCATCAACCCTTCCTGCCAACTCCTCACTCTCCTAATCATCCATCCACTCTTCCATCCATTCATCCATTTATTCATCCACCCACCAATCCATTACTCCACTCGACCTTACATCCATCAATGTTTCCACTATTACATTCACCCCTCCTATCTCTTTTATCACACATCTATCCAATCATCTTTTCTTCTCTCCTTCTTTCCTTCCTCCATTTCTCCATCCATCCATTCTTCCATCCATCCTTCCATCCTTCCTTCCATTTCTCCATCCATCCATTCTTCCATCGACCCATCTATCCATCCATTGTCTTACACACCTGTAACTCTTTTACATCAGGCAGGTATTCCTGCAGGAGTCGTCAACATACTGCCAGGGTACGGACCAACAGCGGGAGCAGCAATCAGTGAACACATGGAAATTGATAAAGTCACTTTCACAGGTTCAACTGAGGTACAGAAATTGAAAAAATATTTTCTTTTTTTTTTTTTGCTTTTATTTCGGAAAGAATTTKAAAAAAGATTCTGTTGTGAATATTAAATGCTTCATGGTAAATAGCGCATTACTACGTTGAAATTCAAGGAAAAAGCAAAGAAAAGTATTCTGTGTTGATAGAAAAAGAGATGTATTGACTACAATAAGTAAAACATGTTGGTTTAGGCCGGTTTTGGCTTCTAAAAGACTCTCGTTATAATTTACCACGATGACTTGAGCTGCAATAGGCCGTTTGCATGATGGCGTCATTTTACAACAACTACCAAAATGGCGAATTTTCTTTCTTATTCAAACTTGTATTTCCTCATGAGAATAGTAAGTCAATTCCTTGGTGCTAATTGGTGCTAATTAACTAATTAATTAACTAGTAACTAATAGTGTGCAAGGGATTTTGGTAGCTGTAGTAAATGACGCCTTATTGCAAGTGTCATATTCACTATACAAAGTAACCTTCATCATTTTTTCATAGTAATAATGTYATTACCAACGAACAGGTTGGAAGGATTATCCAGAAGGCAGCTGCCATGTCAAACCTCAAGCGAGTTWCTCTTGAGCTCGGTGGCAAGAGCCCCAATATCGTATTTGCCGATGCCGACCTAGACGAGGCAGTCGAAGGTTCTTTCTTGGGACTGTTCYTCAACCAGGGCCAGTGCTGTTGTTCAGGAACTCGTATCTTCGTGGAGGAAAGTATCTACGATGACTTTGTCAARAAGATGGTTGAAAAGGCTGTTGCGAGGAAAGTGGGACAACCATTGCTTAAGGAGACTSAACAGGGACCACAGGTGAGCCGGTCACGCCATGAAGTAGAGACAAATGAGGGACCTAGCAGGAGAACTGTGATAAACTTAGAGAAGTCAGATTCAAATACCGAGGCTAACATTGAAATTCTAAAGAAATCCCACAAATTCCATCGAGAAAAAGTGTGACTTTTTTTAGTTGTGTTTTCATTTTAGCCTTCCTTCCACGATAAATTCGAGAAGAGCCCATTCCAATTGGAATTTAGAAGTTGATTTTTTTGTGGAGGGAGAGAAAAAAACCGCAGAACCCGAAAAAAACCCCTCGAAGCACAGGAGAGAACCAACAAGCAACTCTTCTCACATGCGACACCGAGTCTGGGAATCGAACCCGRGTCGCATTCGTTACAGCTGCGCGCTAAAATGTTTGAAAGTTCGAGGATGAGAGTGCGTTAACATGGAAAAATAAGAACTACTTGACGAAAATAATTTTCTAACCCTTTCACATATGGTTCATAAACTTGTCAGATTGATTCAGATCAATTCAAAAAGATCCTGGAATTAATCGAGAGCGGGAAATCCGAGGGAGCCAAGCTGGAATGCGGTGGTGGTCGTCATGGAGACAAAGGCTACTTTATTGAGCCCACGGTGTTCTCTGGTGTTCAGGATGACATGAGGATCGCCAAGGAAGAGGTATGTAATCGAGAAGGTCGAATAGAGGTTTTGCACCACCACGTGACGGCAGCCATGTTAGATGGCAGGAACAATACGATCGTTTTACCAAGAAAGAATTCAATCCCCGAAAGCAAAGGGATTTTTTGTTTCCCCATCTAACCACAGGCTGTCCAAGCTGTATTATGGGCGTGGGAACGTGGTGGTGCAAAACTTCTATAGAGGATTTGCACCATCACGTGATGGCAGCCATGACAGGAGGCAGGAACAATTGGATCTAGTCTAATCTGATTTACATGAGAAAGGATTCAGTTTCCTAGGAGAAAAAGACTCTATTGTTGTGCCTCCTGTCATGGCTGCCATCACGTGATGGTGCAAAGCCTCTATACAGACGATGAACTTCACTTGCGCCGGACCTACGTGTGCAACATGCAACCAAGCTTCGAAGCTGTATATAGATCCCTTGCATGTGACGTCATAGCTGCTGCAATTTGAAGGGCAAAACAAAAGAATTTCAATTTCCTGAGAATACTCTATTKTACAGTTCCGTTCAGTGACCACGAATAATAGTTCCAAGTCGAGATTGGGATTTCCGTGCATAGCAAAACTAKACTTTTTATCATGCGCGGCAACTCCTACCTCGGTTTGGAGCTATCATTCGTGGTCACTGAACACGATTGTAAAATGAAGTATTGAAAAYCTATCGCTATGTCCTCCAAAATGAGCTGTATTCCGACGTTTTGCAAGGGGATTATGAACTATGTTTCCATCCTTCCAGATATTCGGCCCCGTAATGCAGATCCTCAAGTTCAAGACGATGGATGAAGTGATTGCACGTGCGAATAACACCAMTTACGGCCTGGCTGGTGGGGTCTTTACGAAGAACATTGACAAGGCACTCACAGTTGCACACAGTGTCCAGGCGGGAACTATGTGGTAAGGCTATG